AACCACCATTCTGCATTTCTGGAGTTCCCATCTAATGATTTTATTTTTCAATTAATTCCTTGACAGAATGCCAGCCCGTGTCTCTCTGCCGTCCCTGGCTGGCGCTGTCGCCTGTGTGGAAGGTACAGGCAGGCAGGCAGGGAGAAAGGCGTGAGGGGGTGGGCAGGGAGCTGTTGGGAGGAGAAGAGAAAGCACTTCGTGGGGTTTTGTTCTGGAGGCAGAACGTTGAGGAAAGGCAAGTGGAGAGGGGACAGAGCGTGGCCGTGGCCAGTCGGGGAGAAGGCATCTGAACGGCACCCTGAGAGGAGGCAGCATGAACAGTCAGGGAGGCTGTGTCTGAGATGAGGGCGTGGGTGCCAGCTGGAGCCAGGCTGTACCTGCTGCTCTGGGCTGGATGACCTGAGTCACAGTTATAGCACAGCCCCCAGCGCCAAGGGTGCTTAAGAGTATTCCCATCCTGGTGGCCACCCACCCAAAGCATCAGCAAGCAGCTCTGGGACACGTTAACGGTTCCCACCTTGAGGACCAAGGGCTTTCTCAGGCCACAGGGCCACGCACAGGCCTGAGGACTAAAGGGAGCTGCTGAGCTCCACGCCTCAGTGTTCCTCTCTATTAAGTGGGCCCAGTGCCTGCTCTCCTATCTCAAGGGTGCCTTAACAGTTCCTGCCTGCAGTCATTCATACCAAGTGTTCATTGAACATCTACTATGTGCTAGGCCTGGTGCTAGTGATACAGCACCAAGAAAACCCCAAAGGATATACTGACCCACCAACCATGCAGGCCAAGGCTGACCTTAGTGTAGCCCGGGGTGACCTCGCTCTGTGCTTGGGCATCACGGGCGTCGTGGGCATCATGGGTGTGCACTGGTTTTGGCAGCTAGACTGGGGTTGGGGAAGGTGCCCTGCCTGGATCAGCATGGGTTTAGCCCATGGCAGGGTATGGAACCAGGCTAAGCCCAGGGCTTTCAGGCATGGTCCTGTGTGTTTGCACTGGTTACAGATGACGGAGGAGCCGAGCAGGCACAGAGCAAGGGGAGTGTCTAGGTGATGGTGAGTCATTGCATAGGAAAAGAAACCAGGAAAGGTTAGCAGGCACCCCCCTCTCCCTGCCGCAGGCCTGGAGGGATCCTTCAATTCCAACAGGCTCGGCCAACATTAACTCCCTGTCCCCTTCTCCTGGCACAGGCCCTGGGTTGGGGGTACAGACCGAAAGGGAAGAAATGGTAATGGT